ATAATAATAATAATAATAATAATAATAATAATAATAATAATAATAATAAGCTTACACATGTTAAAATGCCATATTCCACAGATCTCTGACAAGCTTGAGGGCCAGTGTATGAGTTGCTCTTTGTCTATCTTTAGTCATCTGCTCTAAATTACATCCTGTAAAACAGAATGCCATAATCTCTAATTCTGGCATATTCCTTAGATGAGCGTTTTAGGACCATATCTATTTTAAGTAGATCTACATAGGCAAACTTTATAGTTACCCATCTTAGACTTAACTTTAAAAACATAAACAAAAGACTAGCTAAAGCTCAATCTTGTAACCAACTGCAGTCATTAGCATAACTTTAAAAATCTAAAATCTAAAAGCAAACCTTTTAATCAATACAGTTTGTAGAGGGACTAGCAAATCTTGCTGATCCTACCACATTGTATTAAGACTGAACAGCAAAAAGCTTAAAGGACAAAGGTTTCACTTGGCACTAAACAGGGAACTCAACACAGCTGGCAGCCCTCAACAAAGATGGTGGTAAAACTACGGGTCCACCTTCTTTATCCGTGAACCAAGGTGGTGGCTAGCCATGTGTTGTTACAGGCCAAGGCCAGCAATTTAAAACATACCCGTTAAGTATTGCTGATGGTGTTGCTAGCTTTCATGGTATGGCACTGTGGAGCAAGTACAGTTTCCTATAAACAAGTTCTAACATTGTAATCAAATAAGTTTAGAACAAACTGCATAACAGAACAGTATAGAACAATTTAAAACTGTACTTGAACTATTCTGGCTATACCAAACCTGTCAGCCAGAATGAAACAGCATTAATTCATTCACTCAGGAACTGGCGGTCATGCATACATTTCGTATAATGGTTAACAATTACTTGAATACAACTCTGCATAACCCTGGGCTAACGTGGATCTGCAGTCCTCTTCCCACTTTAAAGAGCATTTTGCATTGAAGAATCACCAGCCTTTTAAATGAAGAATAACATATTTTACAGTTCTTTCTCAAATCATATTTGCAGGTATGAAAAACCAAAGCAAATACAGTTCATATGCCCTCTGACTTTCTATACATACTCTGACCTTCCATAACATTCTATATACCTTCAGGTTAGGCTTCTGCTAGCTCCGTTCTTCTGGTTTAACCAGACATTTTTATTTTAGACAAGCTATTCTGTTCTTTATTAACCCAATCTCTTGCTTTTCAGACAACATAAAAACTTCCATCAAAATCCTTCTCATCATTTCTTTACTGAGTCATTCCTTGGGTTTTTACTATCCTGACATGATACACTGTCAAAACTGCCATTTTCTTAATTGGCTCAGTTTGGCTTGGCTTCATTTGGTAAAATTAATAAAATAAATACCAAAGTCTTTTGTCCTCCCCCAAAGGATTGAGAAACTGTTCCAGGTTCTTTGTTAGACTGCCCAAGGTCATCATTTTAAAATGCCTGATAAACTTTAAAATTTTTATAGCCTTAAACATTTAAATATTCTCCAAAACCTGTTTTTGCAATATCAAAATAAAGTACCCTTTTTAGGAGTGAAATCACAAAGCATAACTATAATTTTAAAAGTCAAAACCAAATTTTACCAGTACAAACAATCCAATCTCTTAAATCAATACAAACTGAAAATGAGACTTATTTTGTTAGTCTAAAAGGAAAATAGGATGTTAAACAAAATTCATTGCTACTAAGAGGTTCTGTAATCTTTCTTTTCCTTAGCTCTGTCCCATACCACGTGGCAATATTCAAGATGGTAGAGTCATATCACATGGCACGGCAAGCCACATGATTGTTTTTAAAAACATCTGTGCTTGTATAGATCTTACAAACACATATGCACATATATATGTTCTAAACAAGAGTTTGAATTTGACCTTTAAACATATCCAATAACTGTTAAACTATAACCAAGACATTCAGAGCATATTAACCATTTATGATCAGTCAGAAAAAAACATGCAATGGCTATACATACATTTAGACAGACAGACAAAACTTTTCTTACTCCATCCAGCCGTAATTTCACGCACTTTGTTGTCACTCAGTGGCGGCTGCTAGCTGGCAGGTCCTGACAATTTCATCCCCGATCCCACCCTCGCATCCCCGCCCAACCCGTGCTCCCTGCTGGAGAACATGCTGGTCCCACCATTGCAGGAAATGGAGTAGGGGAACATCACACAGGTGGAGGGTTTGGGAGGAACAGGGAGGGTTAGAGGAAGTCTGTCCCATAGTGTCTGTCACAGTCCAATACAAAGATTCACAAATACAAGGAACAAAATAGAAACACAAACATGAACAAAAGTAGCTGTGTAGCCATTCTGCAATTGGAAATAAGTGAATACAAAAGCTCAGACTCACAGACTCATAGACTCTCACCATGGCTTCCCTGTCACGGAAGCCAAAAACACAGAGAGAATAGATGGTGGGATTCCACGTCCACTGAAAATCTCTCCAACTGGCGGATAAGAACCCAAAACCAGTACATTGGCAGCACTTCCTGTCTCTGTGGGTGCGACCCACTTTCTAGGCCTATTTCTAGGCCTAGGGAGCTCTATTCCCACCAGGATCTGGGATTTCTCCCAGATTACCCATGGCCGCAGTCTGCCAGATCATCAACTAGTGCAGTATCGAAGTGACCGCTCCCTGGCCACCCTCAGTGTACCACCTTGAGATCTCAAAAATACAGAACTTGGCCAAGACAAAAGCGTTTATCCAGAGTTTTGATCCTCCACCTCAGGGGTCCTGGGAGGTCTTGGGGATCGCAGCAAGCCCCAAAGTTACGTTGTGCCAGATTCACAAGACCCCAAAACACCACCAGGAATCGAGTCCACTGTAAAACACATGAGAATCTTTTTTTTTATTACAAGCTAGCTGAGGCTCACACCCTCACCACTAGAGCAATTGAGAGCAAAGAGCCTAGTGCTCAGGGTAGGTGATTGATTTAAAGTGTCTGGTCCTTCCCAGCATGCCCAAAGCAGAAGGATTCCTGCCGGGCAAGTGTCTATTGGTTGAAACACAAAAGGGGATGTTGCATTTTGAATTGATTGGCTTATCAGAAGGCCCTCAAACCATTAATGTTCTGGCTTCCCTTGTGTAGATGTCCTAGGGGAGAGGGGCTGGTTTCCTAGCAACTGTATCTCTAGTGGGTAGGAAAAGAATGCAGTAGGGCTGGTTCTTCCCTGCAGGTGGCTGGATATGACTTTACCTGTCTGGCCTTTGTTCAGGTTTATGCTTTAAACTTTAATTCGATAACCCAAAAAGACTAATTTTTCATTCTCTCTGTGTGTGTGTGTGTGTGTGTGTGTGTGTGTGTGTGTGTGTGTGTG